TCTGGGCAACTGGAAGAGGGTGAAATGTTCTTAGTGGAAGCTCAAGGGAAAGGGAAAGAGTAAGCATAGAACTGGGGACAAAATAAAGTGGAGAAATGAGGCTACACAAGGAGGATATGCTGCTGTTACAGGCACTGAGTGAGAAACTGCCTTCCCCTGGGTTTTCAGCAGCTCTAAATCCCACAGAAGAAGGGTGCTTGTTCATCTTTCTCCTGTGAAGTGACTGGTAGATTAGAACCACAGACTTTGGCTTGGTGGTAGGATTGTAAGACTATTTTGAGTAAGCAACCATATAAAATAAGGAGGTGTGGAACTTGTTTACTTAGTTGGGTCTCTCTTTTCTTCCCCAATAAACTCAGCAATGTGAAAGCTAATTCAGAAAAACCAGACTGGTGGTCAGAGGGTCAGCTGGCTAATTCACATGTTGCATGCACATTTCTAAGGCCAGACCAAGTCATAGCTAGTCCTGACAGTTCCCAACAGTTTCTTCCATAAGATCTCTATATGCTTTACAGGATCACATCATTTAACACAATATTAGGCATCTCAAAGGTACTTGAGTAACTCTTTAGGAAATAGTAAATTATTTATATACTTTTCTTATGCCATCTGTCTTCCATTTTTCAATGTGACCAGTCAGTTATCACAAAAAGAAAACTGAATACAAAAAAACCACCAAAGAATGAGACACCATTCTGTGTCTTTGTAACTTTGCACTCTTGCCTGCCTCATTTACTCACACCCCATGTCCCGTGTTCAAAAGAAGATGGAGGGAGTACACAGAAAGATGGTATCAAAAAGAATTGCCTGATACTGAAAAATTTCAGGAAGTACCACATGAATAAGAGCCAATGATAATGAAGGAAGAAGTTGAAGCTACACTAAAGGCACTGGCAAAATATAAGGCCCTAGGAACTGATGAGATATTGATTAACCTATCTCAGCTGATGAATGCAGCCCTGAATGCTCTCACCAAGCTATACCAGGTAATCTGGAGTGTAGCTGTCTGGTTGACTGAGTAGGAGATAGATCCATATTTGTTCCCATTCCCAAGAAAAGTGACCCAACAGAATGTGGAAACTATTAAATAATATCAATATTACATGCAAGCAAAATATTGCTTATCATTTAAAAAAAGGCTACAAGAGTCGATAGACAGGGAACTGCCAGAAATTCAAGCAGGATTTAGAAGAAGCATTGGCACCAGAGATATCATTGCTGATGTGAGATGGATCTGGGCTTAAAGTAAAAAATACCAGAAGAATGTCTATTTGTGCTTTATTAACTATGCAATGATATTTGACTGTGTGGATCATAACAAGTTATGGTTAACACTGAGAAAAATGAGAATCCCAGAAAACTTAATTGTGCTCATGTGAAACCTATACCCAGACCAAGAGGCTGTTGTGTGAAGAGAGCAAGGAAATGGTTTAAAATTAAGAAAGGTGCATGTCAAGATTGTATCCTCTCTCAGTATCTATTCAATCCATATGCTGAGCAAATTATTTGAGAAGCTGAATTTTATGAAGAAGAATGTGTCACCAAGATCAGAGTAAGATTCATCAATAACCTGCATTATGCAGAAGACACAGCCTTACTTGCTGAAAGTGAGGAGGACTTGAAGCACTTGCTGCAGAAAATAAAAGAATATAGTGTTCATTAATAATAATAATAATAATAAATAAACATGCAAAAAATGAAAAGAATAAAAAAAGAATACAGCCTTCAATATGGATTGAATCTCAACATCAAAGAAACAAATATTCTCACCACTGGACTGGTCAGCAATATGACAGATGGAGAAAAGACTGAAGTTGTCAATGATTTCACCTTACTGGGATCCACAATCAACACCTTTGGTACTAGTAGTCAGGAAATCAGGAGACATACTACACTGGCAACATCTGCTGTGAGGGACTTCTTCAAATTACTGAGGAGCAATAATGTCATTTTGAGGGCTAAGGTGCATCTCGTTTACTTGTTATGCATCTGAGAGCTGGATGATGAATAAGGATAGAAGAATTGATGGCCTTTGAACTGTGATGTTGGAGAAGGGGTCTTAGGAGGTAAAAAATGATAAAGCTTTGTCTCACATACTTTAGGCATATTGCTAGGAGAGGCTATTCCTTGGGGAGCGATAACATGCTAGGAAAGGTCTAGGATCAGTGAAAAAGAGGAAGATTCTCAATCAGATGGACTGACATCGTGACTGCTGCAATGGGTTCTAGAGTTACAGGAAGTGTGAAGACGACACAGGATAGGACAAGATTCAGATCTGTTGTTCTTGGGTTGCTATGAGTTGTACTCAATTCGACATACCTAAGAAACAACAACATGTCCCACGTATCTTGCCAAATATGCATTGCCTCTTTCAACTTTCTCTTCCCCTCCCTTCTTCCCCTTGGATGCAAGGCGGCCAGGTTGTGTCACACACACTCTGAACACATCCACAGACAAGATCCTGGAGACAGACATAGTCTAGAGAAGCAGAGTCTCTCAACAAGATGCAGTGACACACGGTCGTAAGAATGGCGGTTATTTTTTCCCTCTCCCTTTATTTCATTCCTTCTTGCCTTTTTATTTCCACCAACCCTCTTATCTTAATGATACATATATAATCTTACCCCCAAATTTGTTAATATAAAGAAAATAATTTTAAAAGTCTCTGGTCCTTGGAGGCAAGGATGACAAAGCTTCATCTCTCATACTTTGGACATGTAGTTAGGAGAGGTTATTCCCTGGGGGGTGGGGGGGAAGGCTATCATGCTTGGAAGGATGGAGGGTCAGCCAAAGAGAAGAAGATCTCCATCAAAATGGACTGGCACAGTGACTACTGGAAAGGGCTCAAATTTATCAGTAATGGTGAGGATGATATAAGATAGGATAGGGTTAAGATCATCAGGTTGCTATGAGTCATATTTGACTCAATGGAACCTAACAACAAATCTGTATTTGTAGGCTACCTTACTTAATTCCTTCTAACTGGTCATTTTAGGTCAGTGTCTAAGAGTTAAAAGTTCTTGGAAGAGCTCTGTTGTCATTTGATTTCAATATTCTATTACTTAAGCATTCATGTTAATACATGCTAATAAACATACGCACGTAACCTTTGGATAATTTGGTGACTAAGGGCAGGAAAGGAAGATCCTTGATGAGATGGATTGACTCAGTGACGGTGGTAATGGGGTGGTGTGTCAGAGACAGTAAGAATGGCATAGGACAGAGCAGGGTTTAGGACTGTTGTACACAGGGGAGTTATGAGTCACAGGCGACCTGATGGCACATAACAACAAGAAGAAGGACTCAAACTTCCATTATTATTTAAAACTTTTAAAAAACACTTTAGAGTCATATGCAATTAATCCTTCAATACAACTCTTATTCACTGTAGAGTCTGCTTGTTTCTATATAGACAGTATAATCTGATATGCAGACCTGGGTAATTATTCCAAAAATTATTTCCACATTTGACAGTAAACGCTCTATAAACTTTTCATATCCTCTTACTGCACAGATAAAAAAAAAACAAACCAAAACCAACAAACCTAGTCAACTACCTACTCAGCTGTCCTCCTCCCACTTAGCCCTATAAAAAAAGCAAATACAAAACACAACAGAATGACAACTATTATTACTCTGTAATAAAGCTTCAATGAGGTGATAGTTGCCACTGTTTCAAATCCCTTCAAAGAGTTACTAATACAGCAAAGATACTGTAATTAACAGAGCTGTAATCACCAGAGCTGTCCAGCTGTGCCACCATCAATTCCTTGTGTTCTAGAGTCTCAATGAAGAATTAACTTGTCTCTGAGAATTTAAGTCAAACTCTACTTTCCCTTTCTCCAAATTGCTTCCTGACTTCCAAAATGTTACATAAGTATTACAGAGTACAATAAAAGATAAAAGAAAAAGGGAAGAGTATTAAACTTCAGAGTTTAGTAAAGAAGAAAAGAAGATAAAAGAAAGACTGGCATCTAAGGAACAGAGTAACATAACGGGACCTGCACCTTGGAAAATGGTAGTTATTTTGATCATTAATTAATTTCAAAGTCTAAGCTTACAAAACCCAAAAGATTTTCTTTAAACTGTTCCAAAGAATGAGATATACTTTTTTAAAAAAACTAAGTGATAATTTTTAAAAATAGTAATAAAACTATGTTGCCTTATGCTGAGGGTAACAAAAAAATTGACGCATAATTTACTAACGCCTGAAAAGTTCGCTGAAAGCAAACGAAATTTCCTTTTTTTCTTCTACAAAACAAAGCCGAAACCACGAGATTCAGTGGCCCTAAACAAATACACTGCAGATGTCAGTTTAAAAATAGAAGACATAAAACTACCAGAGGAAACAATTCCGGAAGTTGATCACATATCTTCTTGAAAACTGGCTTTTACGCTTAAAATCGAGCAAGCACCCCCTAAATCGAATCTCTCGAACCATAGCAGTCAAGCTTAGGTGCTCATACGTCATTGGCCCCATCTCTATTTCCTCCGCATCCACCAAACAATAATAACTTTAAATTTGACTTTGGAAACAGTAGGCAAGGACTGGTGGGTGCATGAGACACGAAGGGACGTGCATTAGGTGGCCGCGGCAGAGAGGGAGCGCCCAGGTCCCCCGGCTCCTCGGCCTGGCAGCTCCTGAACAAGGGGCTTCCCCGAGGCAAAGGCGGATCCAGCCTCCGCACAGCAGCCCCGCCAGGCGCAGCCCCGCCGGGCGCACTGCTTTTGTCTGGGCCAAGGGCACGGCCTGGCCCGGGTGCCCAAGCTCCGCGCCGCCCGCTCGGCCCGCGCCCCGGGAGCATCCAGGTCCTCCCGCGTTCCCGCGTGCGATCGGCTCTCCTGTCAGCCGGGAGCCGGGCTCTCCGCGCCGCCGACCTCGGATTTGCCTCGGCCACACAGCGAGGCTCCGGCCTGCCGGGCTCCTCGGGAGCTGCGTCCCCTCCCGCGTCCCTGCCGGCCAGCGGCTCGCATCCCCGGGCCCCGGAGGGCTGTCTCACCTGCATGCCCGGAGCTCCCGGGTCGACCCCAGTGTCCAGGATGGCGATGAGAACCCCTCGCCCATCGTACTCCGGGTAGCGGCAAAGGAAGGAGGCGGCTCCGGTCTCCTTTTTTGGCAGGAGCCCGTGAAAAGGAAAAGGCTCTTCGGTGGCGGCGGTGGCCATGGACGCAGGCTGGAGGACGAGGAAAAGGCAAACTGCCAGGCTGCGCGCGGAAAAGCAGCGCGAGGACACCCAGGCAGCCGCGGGACTGGAGGCGGGGGCCAGGGGCTAGGGGCGGGGCCGATCGCGGCTTCCGCCAATCCTGTCCCGCCAGGCGGGGTCGCGCGTGATAACCAATAAATTGGCCGAAGCCAAGTCGGCGAGCCAATTACGCAATGCTGCGTAAACTCATGGCGCCCATGAGGGGCGCCCGTTCCGAGGGTTGCCCGGGCTGCAGTGGCAGAGGCGGAGTCTGAGTGAAGTACTTGAGAGTTCAGTTCTGGAGCCCGTGGTCTTAAAGGGAACCTGAACAGGACTGAAACTATCTAGGAAACTGTCAAGAAAATAGACTTCCAAAAAAAAAAAAGGAAAAGAAAATAGACTCCAGCCACATGTAGCGGGAACCTTTCACGAGGCAAGCGATGGTTTCCAAACTTGAGGTTTGGGGCGAATTTTTTTCCATGCAAACTGCTACAGTAGCAGCTGCTTCTAGTTTAATGACAAGAGCAAACGGAGCTTACCCATCTACGTTTAAACCCAAGGCTCTCTCACGTGTTAGAGAGATCCTTAGACAAGTGTTTTAGACCTCTTTTCTTATTCAACTATGAATTTTGTTCCTCCGCTTTGAAAGTAAGGGGTGGGAAGATAGGCACTAGTTTGAGTCAACAGGAAGTGGTTGGTTACGATTTTGGTAAACACTGTATCCTGTAACAGTAAAAGTAACTGAGGTGGTTCTTCCTACCCACATGGCTTCCGAGATTTTCGAAAAGCATTTCTGGGATTTAGTTTGTTTGGTTTAAATCCCAACTGATTGCTCTTTAAAGTTACACCATCCCAGCCTTGTAAATTATGAAGGCGATTAACAATCCATAATTTGCACACTTTGAGCTTCACAATGACAACCACTATGTACTTTATACTGCACTAATGATCCTTTAATGATCAATTATCTTTTTCGTTATTCATGCTAGCGTGGTGTGTGTGTGTGTGTGTGTGTGTGTGTGTGCGCGCGCGCGCGCTTCCATAAAGATTTACATTCTTCGAAACCGGATTGAAACCGTCCTACTCTGGTGGCCTAGAGGGTAAAGAGTTGTGCAAATGACTCTTAGGCAGGCAGTTCAAATGCTCCCCCTGCTTCTTGGGAGAGAGAAGGCAATATAATGAATAGCCTTTGAAAATTTGCAGGAGCATTAACTATGAGTTGGGTGTGACTGTCAGAAATGAGCTGAGATTTTACAGCGCCACAGGGAGTCAGAATTGACTCCTGGGCGATGGTTTGGTTTAAGGGAGGAGGTTGTGCAGAGCCTTTCTCAGAGCAGTGTCTTTGTTATTCCACCTTTTTTTTTTAATTGGTTTGCATACAGTAACTTGTTATATTGTGTTTCATTCAGTACATTGTACAAACTTTCATTCACATTGTGTTTTATACAATCAATGATACACATTGTATCTTATATAATTAATGACAACTGATCTATGCCCATATTCCCTGGTCTTTTCCCATTCCCATTGAATCTCTCATTCCTTCTCTCTCTCTCTCTAACACACACACACACACCTCTGCTCTCCTAGTGATTTCTACCCTCTCCAAACCCTGTCCCCTTCTCCCTTTCCCCTTTTAGACATTTTTACACATCTTACTAGTTATTCTTTTATTTTTACAAGAATAGTCTTATGCAGTATTTATGCTTCTGAGACTTGAATTGGTTGACTCAGCATAATGCTCTCTAGCCTCTCCCATGTTATATAGTATTTTACAAAATTATTGTTCCTTAGTGCTGCATATTGGCCAGAATTTT